ACAAAGCACACAGAAAGGCTAACAGAAAGCCATACTGGAAATGTAGTTAATGAACATGATTTATTCTTATTGTTCTGTTTTATTCTTATTCCAGATCCTTTTCTGAACTGCTTTTTGTGGGTGTGTGTATTGAAATATGAATAACCAGTACAGAGATTGAAGTAATAAACTACATTTATTATATAATGCTTCTGCCAAGCATTTTTGCTCTTCAGACACCCTCAGTCTAGATCACCTCTTGTGACAAAACCAAACATCAGCAGTTAAATGAAGTTAGGATTAACCCAGGATCTTACAGAACGTGGTGATAACGATTCAGCCCATGACAATCTTTTCTTAAAGTCATTGTGAAGCCATGTCCTAACATGGAGCTCATGAGAAAAAGGAGGGAAACTCCTCCAGTTTCACTGCCATGAAACCTAGTGTGAAATTCTCTGTCTACTTGTCATTAATAACAATCCTGAAATGATGCTAATACTATTAATAATATCATTAACATATTGCTAATAGGAATCAAATTTTCTGTAACATGCAGTAATATATACGAGGTGAGATAATGCTGTTACTACTGAAAAATCCTTAATTCTCTTCACAGAATAAAAATACGTTTTTAATAACCAGGAAAATGTTATCAGGTGCTTGGTTTAACTCTCATTGAAAAGTGGTAACATACATTAACCTAAACTAGACTCCTGCCTTGGATATATTTGGGACAAACACAGTACTAATCAGGGATGTCTCACACTAAAATAAAATTTCTTTTCTCCTCATCCCAGGTCCTCTCTTTAACTCAGTATTGGAAGTGAAACTTCACCCTCAATGGCTTTTGTAACTTGTAATATGAGGTGTTATTCCCCACCTCAGAATTTGTCTCAGTAACTTCAAGAAGAAAACAGTCTTAAAACTCAGCAATTCAAAATAAGAGAGGCTAAGCACTGAAAATAATGCCATGCTAATTCCTGATTCAAATAGACTGCATGGCAAATTCAGTCTTTCTGATAACATTGTCCATGGTATGCTTTATTTTGCATTATCAGCATCTTCATCTTTCCTTCTCTACAGTCGAGATGATAGGCCCCACTATATAGACAATGAAATGCATTCCATACCGTGTGGGTGTGATTTATTTATTTCATAACTACGGTTGTTCTACTTCTGTATTTCCATGCATCTCAGTGTTGTAATTTCTGTTTTAAAATGACCCAGATATGTGTCAGAAAAAGATTTTTAAAAAGATAAAAATTCTCCCAACCTCTCATGCAAAACTATATCAAATGAAACTCAAGGAGTATGTTTTATAGGCGGTTAGCTAAGTGTTTCTGTAGGAAAGTAACCAAGGATAAAGCCATCCAGACTTCATTCATTTATTCATTTCTGCCCCCGAATTATTTCAAACTAATGAGTTACTGAAGGGTTGCCATCATGTCCCTTTATTTCAGTTACTTTTAAGTCTTTATATTCCTTTATGTATTCAGATAGCTGAAAAGAGAGTTACATTCAACCAAATGTAGTTATTGCCACTTCCAACAAAACACAAGGAAATCACTTCCGATTAAAGATGTTTTATGAGCTATTGTTTTGTGAAGACAGGAAGAAAGATGAAAGAATCTGAAAGAAAAGGCACCAAGGAAGTAGCAGACACCCAAGTCTACTTCAGTAATATGACCCTTGAGAAGAGGTAAAAGAAAGAATTTGGGGGCTAAGCTGAAACTACAGAATGTTAGAGCAAAAGAGGAAAGAAATTTTACACAATTGGTCAGAGAAACAGGTCTTGGTATGTTCTCAATAAGATTGCATCAGCTTTTCCAATTTTCATGCCTTACTCTAACAATTTGTAGGTCTGGTATTTTGATAAAACCACATAGGCCCAAAGCAGTAATTTGATTTTCACTTCCTGTCTGTGGCCTTTTTTCCTCCTTGAATTTTCCACCATTCTGAATTGGAAATACACAAACGGTAGTCTCCAGCACTATGTAATCTGCAAATGGATAACTACTGGCTTAATCCTGCAAGCCTGCTTCTTTGACACAAGCAGTGATCAGTGTCCTAAAACAGTCTCCAGACTATCAGCCAAACCTGTGCTCAAAATAACCTTGTCTCTTCTATTCAAGCCTCCATCATTTTCACTGTCCGTTGCCCATCTTTCTCTTTGTTTTCCTGTTACTTTCTAACATACAGCTGCCAGCTAAGCCTGTTCCTACAACTGTGCTTGCAGTTTGACTACTGAAGGATTGACGCCCTGATGTTTTTGTAGTTTAGATAGTGACTTCTCTTATGTTTGCTCTTAATCCTTTATACTGGTCCTTCATTTATATCTGAAACACAGTTCATCTATCACCATCCATGATTATGGCTGCTATAAACACCAACTAGCATTAAGACTGGTACAAGAAGCAATACAGATGTCTAAAGGTGAAAGCTAAATCAAAACAAAGAGAAGTCCATGAACAAGTCTGCTGGGGATTAAAAAAAAAAAAAAAAAAGCTATTATTTACTTTAATTTTATACTATGCTTCCCAACTTTGATTAAAAGAAATACTCCAACATCTGATTTAATGAAGTTCCAGAAATCTAATGGAAAAGGCCTAGTAACTCATTAAATATATCCATCCACGCATGTGTTTGATGGGTTTGTGAAAAAGAATGTAACTTTCCTGTAGTTCATCTCTAACCTGTCATATCCCATTGACTGTAGATCACTAATGGAAGTTCTGTTCCTTGCAATTCATCCAGTTCTAGCTCACAGTAAATAAGGTTTATGAGAGTCCTGACTTTCAACTCTCCAGTAAAATTTGGAGGAACACAATCAACTGCTTATTTTTTCCAAGTTATGAAACAAATATACAAAACTAGACAAATCTGGGTCCTGGGGAATTAATATATTATTCAGAGCAGTCATGAGCTATTTTTTCTCTTACTTTAGTAGTATGAGGGAATTGAGTCAAGTTGCTTGATTAATAAAATTTGTCTACTTTTATTAAAATATTTAGATAATGATGAATGAAACAAATAATAATTTGCTAATGGTAAATTGTCAGGTAGTGAGCTTACACATACTTCACGCTGATGAATACTGGCACTGTATAAGACAGGCAAAAAGAACAGATGTAGTTGTCGATTGAGTTAAGTAGTTAAAATATAGGTGCCTAAGAAAGGTACCTCAATCCATTAAATCAAATTTTCTACAAATCATACACTGCAGTATTTGTTTTCCATTGGATGGTAAACTATCATTTAGGACTGACATTTTGAAACTTAGTTTTTTAATATATTCTCTGTATATTTAAAGCCACTTAATTAATAAACAGGTTTACTCACTGAAGGCATCATTAGATACTGAAATAATTTATCTTCTGGTTTGACACACCCATTTAGAGATACAAAAGCTTACTCTTAACAAAAAGTAGAATGGCTAATTGTCACATCCCCCTGAAATAATAATCAAAACAATGGGCTTAAATTTTATGTGTGAGATTCAAACCTTGCAAACAAGTATGCTACCAACAAAGCTCACAAATACATCATACCAGAAGAAACTGGGAATTTTTAGTGTGATAACAGTTCTGTCCTTGCAACTCTCTGATCCATCTAGACACATATTAATCAGTTACATCCAAGTTACTAATAACAGAAGGTCCCTGACTGATTTGCATCAGTGGGAAAAGATTGCCATCACATGTCTCTTAAACAAGGACTCATAGAATGATGACACTTGAAGTTTTGAATACAAAATTTTATCTTGTTCTTATACCTCTGGTCAGGGTTCATACTTGAGACTAATGCTTCTTATTGTCCACACTGTTATAGAAATTATGTAGCTGGTGGCTGCAAACATTTTTACAATAAATATGGGACATATTATAAATATCATGAGGTGGCACAAAGGTGATATAATACATTCATCACAATCACTGTGCATGTATATAGCAATTACAAATCATTTAAGGTCTTAATTTAGCACTGGAGTGAGTTTATGCAGGCCTATTTAGGCTGACAATAATAAATCTCAGAAGTGATACATTAATTATTAACATTCTTCTGTCTTTTGCTTTCATAACAGTTTCAGCTGCATGAGAGTGGCAGAACCATGTATTTTGAGTTCTAAGGGAATACTTTAAGTGCTTTTGAAAGATATTTTATATTAAAAATATAGTCAAAGTTTCACAAAGTAACAAATTAAGCAGCAAGTGACGTAAAGTGCTGACTAAGGTGGTTTTTTTTTTTGTTTATGAGCATGACATATACTATAAGTAGTGACATGGCAGGGGACTGAGCACAGAGCAATTAACCAAATACTCCTGAAGCCTATTCCCAATCTCAATACTTTGTTGTGTGGCTTTAGGAAAGTTCTCAAGTAAACGCTGAAAGAATCAGTTGTGTATGTTCTGAGCAACAGCTTCAGGTTTGGTTTTACAGAGCAAGACCAAAGGCTTTAGAAACAAAAATCACCCATAAAAGAGATTCTGAGATTACCCTTTCCATACAGTGGCTAGTGTATATCCAGTTTAGTCAGTGCTTTACATTCAGTTTAGTCAGTGTTTACTGCAAAGTATGCTCCTAATGCTCCAAAATCTGCCATAGCTCATTCCAATCTCATGTGACCAAGTTTTCTTGGTCACAACAAAACACCAAGATTGCCTTAAAGCCATTGTATCTTTCAAGCATGGCCTTACAATAGTCTCAGCTTTGGGAATTCAGATCCACTAAAAGAGAAAAAAAAAGTATGCTTAAGTACAGTATGTGATCTAAACATCATTTTTCCAGCAAGCTATTCTTAGACGGATTTTGCTCTAACAAACAAACCATCTGTAGTAATAAAACACAGGAACCTGGTAATGTCATAAGCTTGTTCTCCTGTTTGAAAAAAAAAAAAAAAAAACACCGTTGAAAACAAACCCTGATACTTTCCCACTAAGCTTCCTTGATTTTCCCAAGACACAAACATAATTTTGTTTGTACCTGAATGAGACACACAAGTGACCACATTTGTTTTCACTCACCTCCGGAAACCACCAGTTATGGTAACTAAAGCATCTGGTAGAAACGTACACACAGTATTCTTGACAATCAAGCTTACTGCATCCGCTTCTGCCTCAGATACACAGCTAACAAGGTCCTCATAGTAGAGCAACCCTGGAAATCAAAGGCAAAAAGGTGTCAATCACTCTGTGGAATTATCAAAATCGACACAGCACTGTGTAAGCCCCGTGGTGAAATAGCCACCTCTCACCAAGAAGTTAAACCACACAACTTGTACCATGGGCAAGTGAACCCTACCTAATGACAAGAAATGTTTGATCACGAACCTGAAACTATGGGTTTGTTTCAGGACATGTTGTGGAAATAAATATATTTGATTCAGCCTCATCAGGAGTCTTTTCCTTCCTCCCCACCATTCCTGGAGTCAGCCTCTTGCCCCCTGAGTGTGGGGGATCACAGGCAAGAGTCAGCCTCTTCCTTCCCTCATCTTTGTCCTTACAGATTATATATATGTTTGTCATTATAATTTGTTATAAATTGTAACAGCAGTTACAATCCTGACATAGCAGTCAGGATAACTGTTCTGTTTGCAGAGAACCCGAATATTTGTTAATTACTCTGACTTCCCTACCAGCTTCCATCAATGGCATTTCTGAATGTAGTGATTTAAAAGGTGCTCATCCCAAAATGATGATGTTCTACGCAAGTACAGGGCTCAGAGGTATGTGAAATATCCCAGTTATCTTTATGTCTGATCACAGAGCTTGCATCAAAAGAGCCCAATCCTGCAGCTTGCTTCACATTTGGATATGATATATAGAAGAAAAAAGAATAAAGAAGCATGAATGTGGGCAGGATGATCCAAGAGTTTCTGAGGTGATGTAAAACATATGTGTTTAATGCAATAATAAAGTTACATTATTTTAATGTCATATCATATAATCTTATTTTCTTAATGTAACTGATATCTTTGTTTAAATAAGTTCCTTTATATAGGGAAATGGCACACAAACACACAGAGAAATATCTGTGGGGAAGCAACATTATTCATTTGACCATGTTTAACACTTTAAAGTTAAGACGTGCTAGGAATACAGAAGCAATTTTACAAGTACTTTATTTCAAATCTTGATTTATCACTAGAGTAGGACTGCCTTGAGGGATACAGGTCTCTGAAAAGTAGCTCTGGGCTTTCCTACTGTTGTAATTTTATCACAACCTGTGCAATAATGACCCATTAATAGTTTTGTATATAAGAGCAGATTTCACTGGGCAACTGTGTAAGCAATTTGAAAAAAAAATGCATATTCATATGTTTTGAATTACACCATTTTTAATTAGGAACTCTGATAGTTCAATATTATTTTAACCTAATAATTTAATATCCACAAGACACTGCAGCAAGGAAATGGATGTATAAATGAACCTCCTCTGATTCTGTTATCAGTTTCTTAGAACACTAGGATACAAGTTTTTATAAGGCTTTCACCTTACCTGCTTTCTGCATTTTTGACAGCTTCAGGGTCTTGTCAGCTTTTACCTCTTCCAGAGTTCGTAAACCCGCTCTGTACCATTTCTCAGATGTCTTCACTCCCACTCCAAAGACTGAAGTAAATTGCTAAGGTTAGTAGAAGAACACACATTTCAGTGTTGTTTTCTAAAGAAGCAGTGAATTAACAATAAGTAGGTAACAACAAGGCTTCACAGGGAAAATACTGGGTAGAGTTTATCTTACATTGAAGATAAATAAGAGAGTAATATAAACATACAGGTTCAGGTTCCTTTCTTTGCATAGTTACATTGAATAGGCAACTGGTTTTATACACAGACAGTTCATGTTAAAGTGAAATCTAAACAATAATACAGTAGTAGCCCCCAGAATCTTTATGTGATTTACTTAAATGTACACTTTCAACTAACGTTTGAAATATGGATAGTAGTCTTTATTTTTACTGCATTTCTAAATAGAAATGCAAACAATAATGTTAAGTAGCTAGATTCCCTTACACTGACTTCATAGAATAAGAGCTGTCTCAGTACTATCATCCTAATTTGACTAACAGTACAATTTTGTACTGTATACAGTACCAGCTCTCAGTTGTACAGATGATAGTGTTACAGGACTCCTGCGAGATGGGGTCAGTGGGAACCCTGTGGCTCTTGAAATTCTGCATGGAGGGCAATGGCTCTCAGTGGTGCATGGAAACAGATGGTAGGTACATAAAGACAACTAATCTATTCTTACACTGCATTCTATAAAGCACATATGTTTGGAGATCGCACCCAATATTGCTTTCCAAAATGGGATTCAACGTCAAGTACAAACATTAATTTTTGTTTGCTTGCATATTCTAAACACTTCTACAATTCTTCAGTCATCACATGTGCCAAGCTAAATCCTTATATATCTTATTTGCAGTACATATTTCACTATTTTGCCCACTGGAAAAAAAAAAAAAAAAAAAGACCAAATCTACCAGTCTCTGAAGTTTTAGTATGGTTATATTCCATTTATTCCAAAGCAATTTTGTACACTAACTTATTCCCCAAGAAAGGATGTAGAGCAAAAATGCCACAGTTATAAGCATTATTCAGTGGATCAATATCTCAGATGAACAGTGACATGAAAGCAAGAGGGAAAACTTTCATGCTTGCCCAAAAGCACGTTCTTTATGTTCAGTTTGTCAATACTGAGGCTCTCAATAGTTTCTTTGTACTTTTAGAGAATTCAATGAGTAGCTGTGTAAGACACGAATAACTGCTGCTTTCCATTGAATCTACAGCCTCTGAATTCCAACCATGCTAGCTTGATTTTGTGTTTTTCTAAAGAGATTAATTCACTGGAAATAATTAAGACAAAGAAAAGAGAAAAATTAAAATCTTGGATAACATTATATAGGAATTACCCTACATTTTTAATATAATGGATGAAACTATTCTTTGTCAGAATCATGGGTCTTTATGAAATAATGTGATTTTTTTAAATACTTAGATTGTTATCTTTTAATGTTTTTGCTAGTAATAAAAGATTTTCAAAAGGGTCTATTACTGGCTTTAGAATGATTCCAAGAGACTTAATTAATATTGGGTTAGACAAATAAAGAAAATTGATTCCATGCCACTGTCCAAATTTTTAGAAAAAAATCCACATTTTTTTCTTTCCATACTAAGATCCATTATTATTCAGTATATTTATAGATGTCAATTTAGAGACACTGCCAAGTGTGCAGCATGAGTAGCAGGTAGCCCATTTATTCAATAGTATAGACAAGCATTGCTCTTTTTCAGCTGGTGAAAGTGAATTATATGAACTAGTTCTCTGCAGCATCCACTTCCGTAACAGAGGCAAACTGACCATGTCATTCATTTACCCTACATCTAAAACATAGACTGTGTGATTTCTTTCAGTCATCTGATGGTCCTGGGACCAGCAGTGATCTTTTAAATCATGATGAATGATTTGCAGCAGTTATCAGAACCATGCTAAACAGTAACCTTTAGTAATTCACTAATATTATGGCGGGATTCTTGGCTTTCTTAGAAACACATAAAAGATTATTGGGAAAAACTGACTACAGCCAATTCATCCAAAATGTTGAGACTGTGCTCAGCTAATAAGAGAGCCACAGAAGTTTTTGTAATTTGGCATGTGAAACAAAACATTAAGCATATTTGAGATAACCTGTCCCGTGATAGTTTTTATTCTAATCTCCAATAAATGTTTTTAAATCCTGAAGCATAAGATTTAATGGCTGATCCTCAATCTTTACTACCATTAATAAGTAACTCTTGTTCCTGAATCCTGCTATACATGTGAATCTACATCTCTTCTCTGAGTATTGATACAGATGGCATCAACAGCTATCACTGAACATCCTTTCATACTTGTATTACGGGTTAGAGAGAATGGAAGAGTCTTTCAATAGCTGAAGTAAAAATGACTAATGCAGAGGAGTATTAAACACTGCTATTCCTTTTAGTCTCAGATATAAATTTTTCTGAAGTCACAAACAGGATATTTTAGAGATTAAAACTGCAGATAAAGTTGAAAAAAATATTTTTCCAGTATATATTTTTCCACTGGAGAATTCACTGAAAATTTAATAAATAGGAACTGTAGAATATATGTGGTTTAGATTTCCTTTAACTATAAAGAAGTGTGACCATGATTCTGAACCTACAGTTTACCTAACAAACATCTCCAGTCCTCTTCTGCCTCACACAAAAGAGAATTAAAATAGATCTGAGTCATCTTCTTCACCTGATATTTTCTTCATGTCAGAATAAGATGGTATAGTGTTATAAAGATAATCAACTGAGGGGAGAAAAAAAAAACAAAACACCAAAACCAAACCAAACCAAACAACATCCAGTTAAAATCACAGCAAAGAGTGTGCATTACATTCGTTTTCAGGAAAAAGAGATTGTTTACTTCAAGCTTAAGAGCAACTGTGTATGCATCATATTAATTAGAAAGGTAACTGATCTCACCGTTATTCCTTACTATATCATAGTTTCTCTCTCTCCCTTTCCCTTTATTCAAGACCTTTCTTTCTTTATACATGATATTGGATGTTCCTTTATAATAAAATTGATGGTTATGTCTAAGGTCTACTAAGCAGAAGAAAATATTTGCAATTTTAAACAACAGCAACAAACCTCAGGATTTACCTTAAATGATTTGTATCGTTCATCATTTAACACTTCTTTAATTCTAGAACTCTCTCCCTCTTCAATAATCTCCTAAACAAAGAAAAACATTACTCAAAAAAAAAAGAAAATCAAGATTATGGTAAGATTTAGTAAAATAATCTAAAAGAAAGTCTTATCCACCTGTAAAGACATGAGAAGCAGCCTTAGCAAGCATATTATTTTATTCCATTAGGATCAAATTCCGCAATCCTTTTTGAGACAGAAAATTACTGAAGGATGAAGGAGAAACTGGAACCACAGAATAAATTTCACAGTACATATTTACCCATAAATTTACTCAAGGATGAAGTAAAAACTGGGACCATGGAATATTTTTCACAGTAATTATTTACTTATAAATTCACAACCAGAAAGCAGTTATTTATCATAAGCTATCAATGAGTTGTCCTGAAAATTAGATTTCATTATTTGGTTGAGTTTACTACTCAAAAAAGTAGGAGCATTACAAGAACGCATATATTTTTTTCTTGAGCATACAGTTCCTTCAGTCTTTCTGTCAAAAGATAAGAAACAAAAAAACCCCCACCAACAAAACTCAAAAATTCATTTTATTTTCTGTGGGATTATAACTGAATTCCCAGACCCCAGATAGTAGTTGAAAAGAGCACTTCAGAGGCTCCATTCTTAACTGGTGGAGTGAGGCAAACAAGGAGCCAGAGTGAATCACAACATTCAGCAATGATCTCTCCAGACAGCTGAGACCTTCTGATCAGCTGCCTGCTAGAATAACAGCACCCAAGATGTGGGATCCTGAAAAGGCTAAGAATTAAAGAAAAATGCAGAGAATACTCAAAGGTCCAGTAAGAATGTAAAGTTCATCCATCACCTAGATAAAAGGCTCTGCTATAACTCATAGCAAGGTAGGATTTAACATTAGAGTACTAAAATATTTACCAATTTTGCAAAAATAGTATTTCTAATAAAGCATTCAGGTGAGCAAAGTGATGTTGTCAAGGGCAGAAGACACATGAACAAAACTATTAAGAGTTAACCTGTCACATCCAAAGCAGAGTGAGCCTTTAAAAATTACATACAAAAATGATACTGTATTACTTATTAATTTGTATTTATTCATTAAGTACCTTTATTTCTAAGGGCAGGTGCTCCATGACAGAACTTTATGTTACTACAAAAGATTTCCAGGTAACAAGGATAATACAACATAATTACAGTACACACAGATAGCTGCACTCTGTGACCTCTCAAAGTAGATTTGTAAAAGAATCAATAGGCTTATGATTCAGGGGTATGTTACCTCAATGACATCTCTGACTCGGTCTCCCATACAGGGCAACCCTTGTATGTCTTTCATTCTGGTTATTGGAAATGGAAGAAATTTCAGCACAGAAGCTGCTCTCAGAAATTCCAGGCAGAATAATTCATTTTCTTTGAACTCATAATTTTCGGCCATTATCTCAAAGGCATCCTGGGGTGGGAGTAGGGGAGATGTGTAGAAAAGAGTTAAAGGTTAATAAAAGCTTTAGCTATTCAGTATTCTCCTTAGAAACATTATTTTGTATGCTAATTCAAGAATGATTTATTTATACTAGGGTGAAAAGATTGAGTTCATAAAAAAAAAAAACCTCAGCATCATTTTTTAACCACTTGAAATTTTCCAGATGTCATTAAAACTGTGTTTGAGAGGCAAATGTGGAAAAATATTCTGATCTGTAGCAACACCAAACTTTAAAATCTTTTGTGTGATAGACTTCACCTATTCTGTGAAGACATAATAAATCAGTGTGAAATAGCACCATAATTTTTAGAATTGTGCCCAAACATAAGTAAACAGCAGGTCAGTACAGGATATCTTCATTTTCAGACACAACCAAACAGGAGTCTGTGTCAATACTGGAAGCCACCACCTTCATTTCAAACTTGTATCCATGCTTCTATTTAGTAACTTAAGGAACAAACTCAGTTTTTCCTCATTTTTCAGATGTATAACCTATGCAAAAAGAAAACTATTATCTTTATGGTTCTTCAGTTATCCATGGCCTCGTTTATTTGACATTGCACTCAAAACTACCTGGAGATTGCCAGTACTTTTTTTTTTTTTTTAAAAAAAAACCTATCCGTATGTCATTTATGCAGCTTTGCAGTCTCCCTCCCTCCCAGAATATACATATAACTTAACAGCAGCAATTTTTAGAAATGAAACGCAGGGGACAGATTGCACAGTGGTGGAGAAGAGAAGCAGTTTTTCTGCTTTCCCACTGTAGAATACTATGTTTTGGGAGAGAACAAATGCTGCAAAAGAAGTTTGTGAATAACCTAAGATAAGAATTTATGAAGGCTGATTATGAAAGCTGATTAGCAGCTGGAAATCTGAGTTCTTAATGAAACCTTGCACAAAACCTCAAAAATTTTGAAGACTGCAAAATTAAGTAGTTTCTTCAGAAACATTTAAGAGCATACCATTTCCAGAAAGAGATATTCACTGTTTAAAATATTTATCTAACATGCATCTCACACCTGGCTCTTAGGGATGCTCTTTTGCACCATTCAGATGGCACAGGACAGGCTAGGTACAGACCATAAACAAGCCAGCCTTGCAAAGCTCCTGCACTGTCTCTTGTCCTGCATTCCTCCCAGAGATCCCTTTTCTTACTCTCCAGCCAGTCTCTAAAGAACAGCTAACAGATCCTGGCCTTGAAAGGGCCATACGTCCCTGTCCTGGGTTGAGTGAGTGCTGGAGTTTTTTGGTGGCGGGGAGGGGGCTATCGGGGTGGCCCCCTGTGAGAAGCTTCTCGAAGCTCCCCCAGTTCCAAGTCAGCTCCACTTCTGTTTGGGAAATTGAGCCAATCGGCTGCGCCTCTGCGATAACGTATTTAAGAAGGGACGTGGTGACGGGCAGCCGGACTTGTGAGGAGGAGTTGCTGCAGCTGCGTGAGCACCAAGGTCAGTGGAGGAACGGAGGAAGAAAGGAGGGGGGAGGTGTGCCGGAGCAGAGACCCCCTGCATCCTGTGGGGAGATGGCAGGGCATCCCCCCGCTGCCACGCATGAAGATCTACAGTGGAGCAGACATTGATTTATGGCCTGTGGCTTCCGCCTTATTGATCAAGGTGCTGTGCCCGAAGAAGGCCGGGGTCTCGTGGGAAAAGGTAGCCCCGCTGCTGTAATTCAGTGCTGGGGGGATTGCAGCATGCGGGGGAGTCCCACGCCGGAACAGCTCGGGAAGGGCTGCAGCCATGGGAGAGAATCCAGTCAGAGGAAGTTAGTGACCCATGACGGAGCAGTGTGGGGAACGCTGTGGCCCATGAGAGGAACTCATGTCAGAGAAAGTTTGTGGAGGACTGTCTCCTGTGAGAGGGGGACCACAATGGAGCAGGGGGAAGAAGTTCCAAAAGCTCCCCCCACCGAAGATAAAAGAAGTGGCAGCACTGACTGCACCCCACATTCCCTGCCCCTGCGTCACTGGGGGAGGAGGTAGAGATATCGGGAGCAGAGCTGAGCCAGGGAGGAAGGGAGGGGTGGGGGGAAGGTGTTCTCAAGATGTGGCAATGCTTCTCACTGTCCTACTCTGTTATGTGTTGTTAGTGTCTGTAATAAATGTATGTTCTTTTTTTTCTTCCCCTAACGAGTCTGCCTTTTGCTCGTGATCATAAATGGGGATTTTTTTCCCCCATCCCAGTCCTATCTCTAACCTCAAGCCTGGCTCTCTGTCCTTTCTCATTGCCAGAAGAGAAGGGAGAAAGAGCCGCTGCGTGGTGGTTGGCTGCCGACCAGGCCCAAACCACAACAGTCCCATATCAGTTGCTGCATATCTTTCCTGTTTTCCAGCTTACTCCTGTTTGGGTTTTGACCCACAAGGCATTACAAAATAACAAAGAAGTGTCTGCCAGTGTGTATTTGCCTTCAGTTATCACTTCACTGAGCGTCAGCCCAAGTGTCTGTTCAGAAATGGTTTTGGAATAAGGATGAGTAGCATTTGTGATACAGATATTGATAGCAAATGGTTTACTAGAACAATGACTGCATGGATAGTGGGAAGGGATAAGATTAAACAGCTTTTTCCTGCCTTCAGCGTTTATGGGATCGCTATTCATATTTAGGCTTAGATTTCATTTAATTTGCAATTAAATGCATCATTATATAGTTTAAAGAAAAATAATTATAGATTTTGCTTTGATTCTTATCTTAGCATTAATGTGCTTTATATTGGAAGACACAGCCAAGTAAAATCCAGCAGGCTTTGCATATCCTAATGCTACACGCTTAACATCTCCAGGTGAACTGCAGTCAGTTCCAAGCCCACTAACAGTCATGATCGCAAATCCAGTGAAGTCGTCCCTTTACTACATCAATGGAATTAAGAACAGCATCTGTCACCCTGCACTGAAGGAATAGAGCCTGATTTAAGCAACAACAACAAAAAGATTTTACTCGAGGTACAATGATTTAGATAATTAAAATAGAACAACTTCTTAAGAGTAAATGTACCTTTCACAATCAATGTAGATCATTTGCATATTGCATTTCATTGTTTAGTCAGTTCTAGAAAACTAAACCATTATAAACATTTTAGCCTTACTGAAGCAAAATTAAAGTTTTAATCAAAATCTTCAAGAAAATGTTGTCTCTACTGGCCCTAGGAGTTGCAAAACCTTCCTCTTAACAAATCAAAAATATGAGATCTTACCTGGTTTGACAGTATCTCTTTAGAAGAAACAGGTACCTTAGCTGAACAAAACAAATTCGCTTTCCTTTTCTTTTTTTTTTTTTGTACCACCATGTTAAAGTGTATGAAAATAATTAATTAGGACTTGCTAAAGATTATTTGCTTTGTTCTGTGTCACCTGTATAACTTCATTCCTTGATCTCTGTAAGGATTAGTCACCTGTTGTCCATTTCACTAGAAGAATCCTCCCCTTTGTTGAATATTTATTTACCAGCCACCCTGATTAGTAAGTGCTGTGCAATTCCATTTTCATAAAATTTCATGAAAGACTTCTTGAGATAGAGAGCTGGTTAGTAAGATGATTGATCTGGAAGTTTCTACCAGTGTTTACATTCAGCTAGCCCTCAGGTATAAGGAATCAAAGGGAGGGAGTGAGCTCCCCTGAGGAGGAAAAAAACCCAACAAAATAACCCCCACCATATTCTATTACAAAAATAGTGCACAAAACCTTAGCTTCCTTACAGCTCTCTTTAAAGCTCTTACAGTGGCTAATTTTTAGATTTTTTCAACTGCTTTTTTTTTTTCCACATTTAATATCTTTATTTGCTTGACAGATTATGTTGTATTTAATTACATGCATTTTGGTTAAAGACAGGTGCACATTATAGTTCCCATTTAGAAAGAAAACTAATGCAGAAAAAAAAGGAAACTACTAATTTGAGATCACAAGCACCATGGATTCATCCCAGTTTGCAGAGGGAAGAACAAATATAGCATACACAATACTACAAAGCAAATGGAGAATATATATTTTACAAGTGGGGTGATAGGAGCCAGATGTTTCCTCTGCTATGGGTTTTTTGGGGTGTTCTGTCAAGTTCTTATTCTTTTTATTCTTTATCAGCATCAAAGATTCTTTCCTTCTATGCCATAAAAGATGCTAATTCTTGCTTTAAGTGAGGACTACAGTCACTGTATTATGATTACACTTGCTTTCTTTTTCTTCTCTTTACAATCTGTGCACATGAATACTCAAGAAAGCAGTGTTTGGCAACAAATTTCTTACTCCAGTTAACACTAGCAGAATTAATCAGGGAACAGAAACAAAAAGATATAGTTGCTACCTTCTTGTTAAAACAGTCTATACAGATAAATACATATACAGAAAGCAGTTCTCATAAGTACCTGCTCAGCAGTATGCAATAACGACACAGACTAGAAAAGTCATCTTCTTGATTAGGAAACTCAGAAAGTCTAGGGATGTTTTTTCTCACTCCCAATAGGCAGCCTCTCACATGAACATTTAAATAGATGTATTCTACACTGAATAATCAGCTATCATTATAAACGTGTCTACATATACCAGTACCACTGCTGTTTAGAGGGGTATTAGCCCCTTTCTACTAGTGGGAGGGCAGTTTTCAGAGAAGCTGTCACCATCATTATTGAAAAAGACAATTACATGTAGCGTTTTACTCAGAGGCTGTTGACAGCCAATGAGAAAAATATAATCAAAGCATTTTTATCATTCTAGTTTGCATTTTTCAGTGTTTTCCTGCCTCTACAAAGCTCATTAAGCCATTTTAAATAAACAATAAAATGCTATTGAATATTCATTATTCTCTGTACAAAACATTGCCTGCAAATGCTGCAATTAATTACAGATCTGTCTTTTTACACAAAACTGCTTTTGATATTCTTTTTGATAAAAACTTTCTGCTTTAAAAAAAGGAAGAAAGTGATCTCCAGGTGGAGTTTCTGCCTATTGAATATTATACTCCATACTGAATAATATTCCAGAGGG